GCGCGGGACTCCCACGACAGCGCGCCGCCGCCGCCGCCGCCGCTGCCGCCGCCGCCGCCGCCGCCGCCGCCGTCGCCGCCGCCGGCGGCGGTCCCGCCTGCCGTTTGGAAGGCCCGCCTGCCGGGTCAGAGCGGGACATTCGACAAGCGAGAAAGGGCCGGCTGTCGGTGACGGTTACCGGGGTTATGAGGGCCGGGGTTGGCGCCGCCGCCGCGCAGGCGCCGCTGCAGGGCGCAGTGTGTGCTGTGAGGTCCCTAATCCTCATCCCCCACCCCAGCTGCTGGGTGCCCTGGGCCTCAAAAGCACACGCGATGGGTGCCAGGCTGCCGCTGTCCCATCAACTCTACATGCACACACACACACACACACACACACACACATCCACACACGCACACACACAACATGCATGAAAACAAAGGTATAATGCAGGACACGCATATACACACGCACACAAAATCAATTTGTCTCTCTCACGCACATGCACACGAACATCAACGCGCACGCGCGCACACACACACACACACACACACACACACACACACACACACACTCAAACACACACACACACACACAAACATCCAAGCTCACCAACAACACCGCAGGTGCAGCGCCACCACCGCCGCCATCGCGGCCACCCCCAGCCAGATGAAGCCCCCGTGAAACTGCGTGAACTGCGCCCGCGCCAGCGCGGCAGCTTCCTCCAGAAACTCCAGCCACGGCCCCTCCGCCCCCCCGTCTTCCGGTCCGCCGCCGCCCCCGCCCTCGCTGCCACCGGCGGCTGCGGCCTCAGCATTTTCAAAGAGGGTGTTGCAGCGCGCGAGGCGCGCGGCAGGCAGCTTCGCGGCGCCCGCGTAGCGGTTCAGGTATCGGTGGACCTGCGCCGCGTTGGACGCGAGCGCGGCTGCGTAGGCGCCGTCCGCCCCGCCGCCCCCCGCGGCGCCGCCCTCGGCGAGCACGTGCCACAGGGCCAAGGGAACCTTGCCCAGATTGCCAAAGGGGATCGGAACCCCCAGCAGCAGCGCCAGCGTGGGCGTCAGGTCGACCTGCGGGATACTGCCGCCGCACGGCCCCCCTTCCGGCGCCGGCGCCTTCGCCGCTGGGACGCTACCCCCCATCGCGCCCTCCTCCTCCTCCGCTCCCGCAGCCGCCGTCGCCGCCGCGGCGGCCCAGCCGCCTGAGAGGAGCTCCGTCTGCAGTCGGTCCAGCTCCCCCTCCGACGGCGGCCGCCACCCCTCGCCGCCGCCGCCGACGGCCTCGCCCTCGCCGCCACCGCCTGCATCTCCTCCAACGTCGGCGCCGCCGCCGCGCCGCAGCAGCGACGCGCGCAGCCGCGCGGCGCCGGCCGCAATGAGCACGCTGTCGGCCTCGTCGGCGCTGCCGCCGCCGTGGTCGCCGCCCAATGTTTGACCGTGGTCAGACAGGACCAGCAGCAGCGCGCGCTCGTACGGCCCGCCCGGCCAAGCGCCGGCCGCCATGAGCTCTGCCGCGCACCCGGGTTGGTATTGGCATTGGTGGGGTGGGGTTGATGCGTTTGAGGGGTTGGGGTCTGGGCCGCGCCCCGGCTGTCGCGCGTTGGTTGCAGCTTGAAGCCCTTGACAACGAAAAAAAGGCCTTTCGGAGGGTTCAAAGTAGGGGATGCCCACATGTGGCATGGACAACCCCCAGCTTTCGTCCCGCACATATACTCCTGGCCAGGTTTGCAAATCACGCACGCACGTCCGGCAGGCCCGGGAACCCCAAAGCGGCCCCGGAGCTGCCGGGCGTGCCGGCCGAAATAGACGCGAGCGGGCGGCGGAAACTGCGAACTTCTCACCCATGACCGTGGCCACCTGGGCGTCCATCTGGGCGACCTTGGAGTTCATGTGTGAACTTCTCACCCCGTGGGTGTGGCCGGCGTGGTCGACCCCCAGGTAGTGACCAATTAGTACGTCCCACGCGGGGCCGCGGCCGCGCAGCAGCGGCAGCGCGTGCTGCCGGGGCGGCGGTGTGCAATCGAAAGGTGCGCGGCGCGTGGCAGGGGGGTGGTCAGTCAGGTTCCATGAGTGGTTGTGTCGACTGCAACCCATAGGAGCGCAAGGGCACTGTGCAATCACTGGGGCCGCGCGGGCAGGCGGGCTTCAAACAGGGCTGGCGCGACAGGCGGCAGTCCCAATCGAGGGATGGGTGGTGCGACGAGTAAAATAGATGAGGCCTCAGCATCGTAGTAATTCTTTTGTCAGTCGTCAGTCCGACCCAACGGGTCAGTCAGCCTGACGTGCAAAAAAGATTCTCTTCAGTGGCCACCCTCATTTTTGCGCGACACGCCTGCTGGCTGGCGCGAGCACACGCACGCACGCGCCCACGCGCCCAAACACACACACACACACACACATACACACACACACACACACACACACAGATGCACACACACACATAGATGCACCTACACACACATACACGTACAAAACACACAAACACGCACACCTGCCACACGCCGTCATCCACTGAGTGCAGGTCTTTCACATTGAAAGAGGGGTAGGGCCGCGCCCAGTCAAACGCGCCGGGCGCCAGCTGCTGCCAGGTGTCGTCCCCCACAAATGCCATGACCTTGCCTGCACAGGTCATTGGAGGGGCGTTCACACTTGTGAATGAAATGAAGCTGGTGTTGCATCGCCAGCACCACCAGTTTGACTGCTGGTCAAAGCTGATGTGCGCGTCCAGCTGCTGCAATTCTCTGTCAAAGTCGACCCTCGGGAGCGGCAAGGCGCCCGTGCGTTACGCAGCTGCGGGTGCCGCTGCTACGATGGGCCGCCGTTTGAAGGGGCGCGGCGACAAGGCCGCCGCCACCGCTCCCACACCCACACGCAGCCGTCAGGCACGCGCCCGTTGACATCATGCTTCACACCACCCCGCCCCTTCGAGACACCAAAGGCCTCCGAGGCGAATGAAGCCCCAACCGAATCGTCACTGTCAGATGCACTCGCCTGCCGCCTTGAGCTGGGACAGGAGATTGTCCTCCGCCACCTGAGATGCCGAAAACGAGCTGCCAACGTCCAAAAAAGTGGGCAGCCCGCCCTGCAGGGAAAGGGATGTCGGCAGGCCCCTGCAGCGTCAGCAACGGGCCCGCAGAAGGGTAGATAAGAGCGGGGGGCCCGGCAGGTCAAGCGGCTGCGAGGCTCTCGCAATGTCATCGGCAGGAGTAAGGAGTGCAGGTGTCCGAGGTCTGCCGGGAGGGGCCTTGGGGCGCGGCGCTTGGGGCGGGCGGGCGGCGCGGGCGGGGCGCAGCCAGAGGGCAAGAAGGTAGAGGTGGGGGTGCTGCAAGGGGGCCGCACCGTTAGCAGGGCTTTGAGGCGGCTCATGGTGATGGTGGGGGTGTCCGCCACAAAACGCAGCGCCACGGCTGCGTCACCCTGCGGGACGGGTGGGTAGGGCGCGGTTTGTGCGCGGGCTACCAGCACAGGTGTGGCGCTGCGCGGCTCCTGTGCGCTGCCGTTCAACGAGCATTGCATGGCCCCCATGCGGCCGCCATGAACCATTTTTCTCTGCATGAGCAGCGGCCTCGACCGCATGCAGCCGTCGCGCTCCCCGGCGCCGCGCCGGCGGACGGGCGTACCGCGGCGCCGACGAGCGCCATGGTGCGCGGCAGGCGGCCGGCGTGCGGCTTGGCGGCCGATCTGCCCTCGCAGGCGATGTCGTAGCGCAGCGCATCCACGATGAGGATGACAGCGCGGTCGTAAGGCGGCCTGGACGCGCCTGCCGCGGCCGCGGCGGGGCCGGGGGCGTCGTCGGCGCCGCCAGATCGCGTTGTTGACGGCGCCCGGGCCGGCGAGCAGCCGGGGCCCGGGCAGCTGCTCGTGTCCGGCAGCTCCACGCGGGTGAGCAGGAAGCCTCGGGAGAAGATCAGGCACGCGACGACGTGCAGTAGGGCGAGGGCGGCCAGGGGCGCGGCGGGGTGGCCGGGGCGGCGCGGCGCTGCGCTCTGCCGCTGTTTGTGACCCCCGCAGGTCGCCGCGCTGTCCCCCATGCCGGGGCGCCGCTAGGCCGCGACTGATTCAAAAGCCTCTATCATGTGCCACCATGACGATCATCGATCCGCAGTGCTGCACCGTGCATGACAAATTGAAATGTAGACATGGATGGTCTTTTGACCTGAAAATGATTGACACGCCAATGTGCCATTCGAAACTACTCGCTTGATATCCAACCAGCTATAGGCAACAACGTCATTTGCTTTCCTGCCCGCGGCCCGACCCCACCACCCACACCCACAACACCCGCTCCAAGCCGGCCACACACCAACCAGCGTCACTCGTATATAAGCTTCACAGCAATCAATTGTTATTGTTCGGAGGCGCGCACCTTGCGCGCCTGGCTGCCTCGGAGTGGACGTGGGCGGCCTTCGTTTCACCGCACGGCAGGAATGGCGCTCAACGCATCCTCAATGCAGCGGCAGGTCGTTTCCCATACGTCTAGCCACCCGTCTCTCGCATGCCCGCGTGGCGCTCCGCCCGCCCGCCGGCGAGCGGTGCAGCAGCGGGCGCCGCGCGGGCGGCGGGCGGTGGTCGCGACAATCAGCCCAGAATTCAGCTCGCATGCGGCTACCGAGCGCCGCATGTATGACGCGCTGCGGCGGCAGAAGCTCGGCGGCGACGGGGCCGCGGACGGCGAAGTAACCACGCCCAAGTGAGTCACCCCCACCCCCTCGATCGCGTGCCGCAACTCAGAAAGGCCGCTGCCGAGTCTTCGGGACGCTCGCGGTCAGTAACGTAGTGGGCCTCCTCACATGCGCAGCGGAGCGCCCGAACCCATGCGCCGGCCCTCAAATGCAAACACACGCCCGCCCCCGCCCGCGGCCAGCCAGCGCCGCCGCCTCATCTCATTTTCTATTCATTTTCTATTCTTGTTCACCTCCCAGGTACAAGCGCGTCATGCTCAAGGTCTCGGGCGAGGCCCTGGCCGGCAGCCGCGGCTTTGGGCTCGACCCCGCGGTGCTCGAGCTCATCGCCCGCGAGATCAGCGAAGCCCACGCCATGGGCGTCCAGGTGTGCAGCGCCGCACCCACCCCCTCCCACCCCCTTCCTGGACTGCGGACTACTGTTGGGAGCAGGGAAGGGCTCATCCCCCTGTCCCTGGACTGCGCAGTGCCTTTGGAAGCAGGGACGGGGAGCGACGAGCAGCCGCGGGCGGCGCCGCTTCGTGGGACGCAGCTGCCGGCCCGATGCGCAGCGGCGCCGCTTGCGACGACCGCCGCGCCCCGCTGTCCGGCCCCCGGTGGCGGGCGCTCACGGGCGTTTAACATGCGCGACAAAACGACGCGCGCAGGTGGCGTGCACGATCGGCGGCGGCAACTACTGGCGCGGCGCGGACGCGTGGGACGGGATCGAGCGGGCGACGGCCGACTACGTGGGGATGCTGGCCACGGTCATGAACGCCCTCAGCCTGCAGGTGCGTCTGCGCGGGCGACGTCGCGGCGTGCATGCGCAACCTCTGAGCAGATTTTCGTGCGTGACTGCACCCATGGTGCCAGCGTCCGCGGCGAAACGTGTCGCCTCACCGTGCCTGCGGCAGCGGCGCACCGGGCCCGAGGAGGAGCCGCTCGCCGGGGCGCTCGCGGCCTCCCCCGCGGCAGCCGGGCGGCCCCGCGCCCCCGGCGCGCCCGCGCCGGGCACGCCCATGCCCTCACCGCCCCGCTTTCCCGGCTCGAGCTTTCCCTACCCCGGCCCCTCAAATCCGTGCAGGCGGCTCTTGAGAAGCTGGGGGTGCCGACGCGGGTGCAGACCGCCATTGAAATGAAGGAGGTGGCCGAGCCCTACATTCGGCGCCGCGCCATCCGCCAGCTCGAGACCGGACACGTGAGCAAAGCCCAAGCGGGCGCGGCTCGCCGCGCGTTCCCGGGCGTCCGGCGGGGTTGGTGCAGGGGCAAGCAGCCCGCGCCGCGGGGGCGGGGCGGCGGCGGCCCGCGGTTTGAGAGGCGTGGCGGCGCGGCCCCCGCCTTCTGCCTGGTCGACCGCGCCTGGAGCGCGCAGCGCGCCGCAGCCGGTAGGCGCGGC